AAATATGAATATTGATTTTAGCTAATAATTTACCTAATTGAGAACTAATTTTTCAAAATAAAAATTTAGATTGGTATTAGCCAGATAAACCACCTGAAACATCTATGAATTGTAGATGTATTACCCATAAAATAAAACATTATTTAGAACCAATGTATTGTTTAAATTGAAAATGTTTATTTGAAGAATGTTTTTACTATTTATTAAATAGTCTGCAGAAGGTCTTAAAAAATATACATTTGTAAAATTAGCAGATATGAGATTTTAATTTTGTATATTAAATCCATAGTTTTAATTTTTTGAATTTATATTAAGAGAAATTTACAAGTTAGAAATTGTAACCTGATTAAATCCACTAAATTTTGTTGTTGAAACTTGAATTAATTATGAAGTTGGAATCTAAGAAATCTAATTTGTAGTTATTTCTAAGGATATTATCTCAAGAGATTTTATATAATTTTGTAATTTTGTTTTAAATTAAGTCTATTAAATTTCTAAGCACTAACTGTCATTTATTATTACTTTTACATAAAGTTCCTTTAATTATAATTCATTATACCACACATAAGCCTATTACTAAGAATGATATTCATCAGATACTATTAATTCATCGAAATCAATTTCAAATAATCTATTATAGTTAGTAGGTTAAGCTTTAGTACCTTTTCCTATTTAATCTTTTAAAGAACCACAATACATGTATATTGTTCTTTATTTAGTATAAACACAAAGGTTATCTTCTTATTTGCAATAAAGACATTTCATTCTTTATCTATCAAATCTTATTTCATATCCCTAATTTACAAACTTTGCTTCTTCACTACTTTTACAGCTTAAACACTAAGCATCATATAAGTCGTACTGAGAGGAAAAAGATTAATTTTATCTTTAGCAAGCTAAGCATCTAATAGAAATAAAAATTTAGGTTTAGAAAGATTTATTTATGAATTTTGAAATTTTTATTATATATTACGTTATGGGGCATAAAACACAGTCTGTTCTTTCTTAATTAAAAGAAATCATTTATTTTATATCAGGTATTGATGGCTATTAGTAATAAAGCATACTTATAAAGTATAAAATGTCTTTAATTTAATTTTAAATTCCTTGCAAATCACATTCTAAACAAAAAGGATTAGATTGTTTATTTACACAAGTACTACAATTACTGCCACATAACAACTGAGTACATATTTAATTGGTATAATCAAATATGAATCCTTCTTAACAAGAAATACATAAATCTCTAAATTATTAATTGTTATAATAATTGAGTCTTTCCTAAAGGCTTATTTAAGGCATAGAAAATATTAAATAGCTAGTAAAATTATATTCTTTGTTTCCTGTATTATAATAAAAATTTAATAATTTAAAAAAGTGTTAATTTAAACCTTAATAGCAAGATGAACATCCTTATGGGCATTTGATACAACCATAAATAGTAGGCATATATCCTTATACACATTAAGTACATTAGTATATTTAACCTAATAGAGCAGTATTATCTTAGTAATAATAGCACTGATGGCAATTTTATAGCTATTTATATAAAATTCATAAATTTAAAAAATTTAAGATAAATTTCTAACCTAATTATAGCAAAACTACTTTTAGCACTACTATGAATTAAAATTAAAAACATATTAATCGTAACATTAGAGGCATAATTAATTATTCATTTAATCAATTTTGCTTGAGTAACATAGCATATCAAAAATAGAAGGAAAACATTATTACTAGTCACTTGATACGTAGTATCCTTCATTGCACATTAAACAGATTTACTAAGTAGGAATATTCCTTAAATATGAAATCCAAGGGTTTATTAGTTGAATTTATTAAGTCTAAATTTATATAAATGATCCTATTGAACAATTATCAATAAGCTAAACACAATCCTCCACTTTTTAATTAAATAAAATAAATATATAAAATCTAGCTATGTTTTAATCAATATAAAATTTGATTTACAATTTTAGGAAATAGTGTATCCATTTTAGCAAACTTAACAATATTTTATAAATTAATATTAATTAAATTCATCTAAGTTGAACATTTTTAAACTTAAGTAATCTTGGTTAAATAGTCCTTAGTAACTTGGATTTGCTAGTTTAATTATATTAAAATTATTAAATAACATAATTTATTAAAAGTTCTTCATCTCCTTTTAAAAGTTAACCATGTTTAAATTTTTTAAAAAATTCAAAAATTTTTTGTAAATATTCTTTAAGATTAGGGATTTTGATTAATAAT